GCTGAGCGATAGCCAGCTGTTGTGCCTGCAACATTTTGAAAATAACATGAAGGCTAACTTCCTGTTCTTCCCGAGCTGGGGTTTTTTGGGCTTCCTGTAGGTCGCCTTGTTGTATGCTCCTCTCGGTGTGTAAGGTTTCGTCGATCTGCTGTGCGTTGCACAAGCCTTCGTCCGCTGGAGTCGGCCCAAGTGCATTTTTGGGGTTCCTTGGCGGCGCACCAACGATCGGAATTGCCACACCGTTCTCCCCGTGATTTTCGAGGTCGTCATTTTCTACTCTGTTCACTGAGCCAGACATTTTGACCTGAAATCGAAGATCTTGGACAAGAAAAAGTGTGAAAGATAACTTGTGTTGTGTAATAAAACTAGCAAGAAAATAATCACTATTATTTTTAGCCCCACGGTGGGCGCCAAACTGTTTACCGTGAAAATGGTAATAACAATTAAGTTTGTTGATGGGACTCTAAGAATACGTGATCTATTTTTATGCTAGTTGTAGAGCAGTTGATGCTATGCGTGTGAAGTTTAAGGGCGAGATGCGAGCTGAAAGAAAGTTACAATCAAACCGATAAATAGCTGCTTGGGGACTCGAGCTAGTCGATTTAGGGCCTCGAGGTCGATTCCCGAGCTCGGGCTCGAGCTATTGGGGACAGTCGGGAAAGGGCTAACAGATGCGATAATATTAAAGGAGGCTCTTTATGGCCAATGATAAGCAATAAATGAAGAACAAGTATGAAGATAATAAAATAAAGCAACAATATCGAGAGAGTGTATTAGAGAGAAAAGAGAGAGAGAGTTATCATATATTTCATGTAGAGTAGTGGGAGCAACCTCAGTCGCCTGCAAAATAGTAAGAATCCCCTTTATATAGAAGGGGGAAGCTTATATGGTAAGACATACATGAGCTGTAAAGATATGGAGATGGGACAGCTAGGCGTGACACCCTGGTTCGGGTTCAGAGTAGGCCGTTCAGAGTAGGCCGGCTAGGCTTTGCCAGACTTAGCCGCGTGTCTTGGCAACTCTCCATTTTTACTCTGGCCTCGGTCGATATTGTCTTTAGGTTGGGTGTCGACGAGCTCCGAGGAAAGAGACTCGAGCGCATCTTTGCAGCTTCGAGGCCTCGAGGTGATCTTCTGAAATACCTTAATGACGTAAAAATGGACCCTCTGATTTTGCCGTATACAATAAGGAATTGGTACCAGGGTACACTTACAAGCTGAGTGTCATGGGAATTACTCAATCACAAGGAGTTATTTAGCTATTAAAGGTCCTCAGAGGAGATGGCCAACAAATGATCTTCACTGGAATGCAATAGCTCAACCAAAGCATAGGATCATCATGTGGTTAGCTACTCAAGGAAGGATACTCACTAAGGCTAGACTGAGTTCTCTTCACATTCAGGTAGATGAAGATAAATGTGTGTTATGTAATGATCAGGCAGTGGAAACTAATCAGCACTTGTTTGTAGAGTGTCCTTGGTCTAAAGCTGTTCAAGAGGAACTAATGCACTGGGCAGGAATTCAAATTCAATCGCGAGATGCACAAAGGTTTTTGTACATAATCAAAAGAAAGAATTGGCAGCTGGTAAAGAAGGAAGTTGTTGTTGCATTATGGGCAGCAATAATATATCATATTTGGAAGGCTAGGAACTGGAAAATTTTCAGGAATACAATTGTAAATATAGAGAGTATAGTAATACATATTAAGGAAGAGCTAGTAGATAGGATTGACTTGTTTAGACAAACTAAGAAAGGTCAGAGATGCAGTGTATGATACAAAGGTTGATGTGTAACTAGTGATTTTCTAAGGCCTGATCCGAAGCTCTCCAAATAAGGAGTTTTGGGTCTCGGTGCTTACTAGGTGTACTCTTATTGTTTGTTATCAATGGCATTTCATAGTGTTACCAGGAAAAAAAAAACATTGTGTGTGGTTGGATGGATGTGGTTCATTTACCCTTAATCACAACCCAAACAATTTTCTCTGAATAATATGGTTTGAATCATGTGAATAGAAAGCGCTTTCCCTTTAATTGATAACTTGCAGTGCAAATATGAATTAATCATACAAGTAAATTCTGAAGACTGAATTATAACTATACCATAAAAAAGAGCTTAGATGATACATTTAATCTTCACGTTAACTCATTTTTCACATTAGAATTTGACTATTTGAGTCATGCATTCTTCAAAAATTAGGGTCTTCTAAAACTAATATTTTTTTTTAAAAAAAAAACCTAGATATTGATTAAACCACATATAATAGTTTAAGTAACTAATTTTAGTTTACTGAATAATATTATTTCCGTCTTACTAAAAAACTAATAAGTATATCTAGTTCTCACATATTGTTTGCATGAGAAATAATTCAATATAAGTTACATAAAATACTGAATTGTTATAAAAATGGCTCACTTCTCGCAAGTTTTTATTTGGTTCATATTCTTTTATATATCACACTTTGTCAAGACTTGTCGCATTATCAACTATTTTTAAAAATAAAATTAATTGTTATTAAAAAATGTCGACAATCTACAAAATATTGAATGATGTGATAATTTCGTCTAAAATCTTATCATTTCGAATTTTGTCACTACCTCAAAAAGTTACGTTATTATAGAGAGTCGTTTGGTATGCTGACTATATTATCTTGGGATTATAGTTCTGAAATTATAATTCATAGCCTAATTTATCTCACTTGGGAGGTGGGATAAAATAATATCAAGTTTAATGGGATAAGGTGTGATAAAATGAGATAATCAGGCTTAAGTTTGGGATAAAGTTTATACTATATTGGATAACGGAATAAATTATACCGTCAATTAAATATAGTATAAATTTAGTATAATACTTTATCTCACCTTATCCTATCCAGCGTACCAAATGACCCATAGCTACTTTGTGTCTCAACCCAATAGCATTATAGTGTACTGTAACTGATTCAAATAAATTGGTAATATAAATTGCTTAATCGGTTTGTGTAATAAATGGAAAAAGAATAGTCAACCAACCCACTAGATTTTGTCAAAGACACTCATTCCCAAGAACACCTAGGTCTCCTAGCTTGCATGGTAGCTTTACCCTTCCATTACACCAATTATAATTCCCAAGACAACTCTACTCTATGCATCTCATTATTGACTGACTGGGAGAAGTGTCAAAAAAAGCCCTTCAGGTAAAATTGGACATCTATTAGAAAAGAAAAGGACATGAAGATGCTTACATCCCTTTTTATAATAGTAAAAATGTGATCATTTAACTGCGATCAACATCACCAAGTTTTTGAGCTTTAATTTTGTTGGCACATGTCATACATGAAATAACAACCTAGTAGTTTCTTGATTTCCCATGTTACATGTTCAAAAGTTTTATTTTGTGCCTCACACAACTGATACTAGTTGTGTGATGCCTCTTTTTGTCTCACAATTTTGTGGTCCCAGATTTTTGTGAACTCAAATATGTAAGATAAGGGTCTACAAATGTGTGAGATAAAAAGAGGTCTCACACAACCAATGTCAGTTGTGTAAGGCACACCATAAAATCACCCGTACATCTTATGTAGTGAAGTTGAGACAAACTCAAACTTTCAAACAGGGAGAAATATGTGTCAAAGTAATCTCAATTTGAAATACATTAAATACGTATATATCGCATTCTTTTATCGAGAAATAAAGCTAAAACTTGCTGTACAAATATTTTAATTTTAGTTTTGTCAATTCATACTTTTGTTTCATACCTATCCTTAATACTAACAAAACTCGTATTTGGACCCTAAAGTGAAGTATAATGACGCGTAATTTTGAATCATATCGAAAGAATAAATGTGGAATTTTTTAAAATTATTTTGGCATATGAAATCCACCAACTCTTATGCTGAAACTTCGTTAAGTCAAGGACAAGTAGGTAACAATTTGTTAACTACAAGAAAAAAATAATGAAAATGTTGAGGTTTTAAGCTACATAGGCTTAAAAGAGGTTGAATGGGAAATGGAAGGAATATTACCAAATTTTTTTGTTAATAGCAAATATTACCAGAAATCCGACGAAATATCCAACTGAAATATTAATTATTTCCGTTTATCCATTTTCAGTTTTTCAGTTTTGTAACTGAAAATTAACCTCCCTCTTCAATTCCCGGTTTATATTGCGTAAATAGCCATTTATGTTATGGCATTTATGTTATGGCCATTTTACATAAACAGCCATTTTGAAGAGTTGCGCCTCTTCAGTTTTGAGCGCAACATTGACTATAAATATAAGTTCATTCTCTCAGATTTTCCATACGATTTTCTGAGTTCTCCTCTTTCTTCTGCATTATTTTAACCTCAAAGAAAGCAACAGTAAGTGTGATTTGCTACCGATCTTTGTGTTCGCTGAAACACTGGGGTTTGAAGTACCACTACACCAGTGTGTAATTCGTTCTATCCTGGGAGAAAATAATCCACAATCTTGGGTACAGTGGGGGTTAAATTCCTTAAAGAAACACTGTGAATTCAGTAGGCACGGATTAACTTTTGTTTCGTTTATATTTCTGTTTATATGTTATTTTATTTTCTCCATAATTATTTTACAAATACAGTATACTAACAGAAAATATAATGGAAGGTAAATTAAATTGTTGTAATATATAATAAACGGGTAGATTTGAAAAAAATTCCAAGAAAAAAGAAAAGAATTTAATCATTTTTTGGTTGCACTTAAAGAGATGTTACTCCCTCCATTCCAATTTATATGAACCTATTTGATTGGGCACGGGGTTTAAGAATAAATAAAGACTTTTGGAATTTGTGGTCTTAAACAAGTTAAAAAGGGCCCAGAGTATTTGTATGGTTATAAAAGTTTTTCATTAAGGGTGTAATTGTAAGTTTAACCTAAATTATTACTAAATTTAAAAAGGGATCATTCTTTTTGGAACAGACCAAAAATAAAATAGTTTACATAAAGAGGGAGTATGTTTCTTCTTTTTAAGTACTTGTTTTATTATTGTCGTTGTTATTACCCGATTTAGCTCGCGGAGCAGATCAGGTAAGGAGATAAGGCTACAGAGTTTACATTTTTGCCCTAGAATATAAAATTGGACTGGGGGTAAACCTGGCTTTTACCCAAATCTTACAGTTCGTCAGTCGATTCCAGTTACTCCATTTCTTCCAGTTCCGTGCCGCTTCCGCCGTGGTTCCCGCCGGCGTGGTTCGTTTCCGGCCACTTCTTCGAGCCAAGGTCTTCTTTTTATCCTAGGCTGTGTAGATATTTGAAGCTTAATTTGTTAATTTCGCTGATCCATGTGTCCAGTAGGCTCTGCTCGCTATTGTTGTATGCCTCAATCCCGAAGTAGTTCGTTTAGCTGTGTAATTTCTCTATGTTTATTCAGCTATGCCTCAATCCCAAACTAGTTCGTTTAGCTATATATTTTTTGTATATCTATTCCGCTCTATCGGGCCCATTTCATGTGCTGTGCTGTGCTGATTATATGGGATACTTTTTCTATTCTGATATCTGATTTATTTTACTGTGGTTTGCGGAACTTCAAAGATTGGTGTATTACTTGAGACGCCTGATATCGTGTACTGAGCCAGTGAGTAAAATTCATGGCATTAATGTGTTATTTACTTTAGGAACTAAATAGTAGTAATAATAATATAATTTAACATTAATTTTGGTAGTTCTTCTCAAAATAAGCTACACTTTTGTCTCAATAACAAGTCCTACATGTTATAATTTATCTAACATGGACTCGATCATGGGTACATTTTACGGGAATTTAATCATGAAATAGGCTAGTTTTATGCTGGATGCCAGTTTCCCGCAGCACTCCTCCTTTATTCGGGCTTGGGACATGCAATAGCAAGCTCACACATGGTCAGTGAGGATCATACAGCTGATCCCTAAGTTGCTCGGACACGGGTGTGGGTGTCCGACACGGGTGCAGATCTAAAGGTCGGATCCTTCGAAATGTAAATTCTAAGATTTGGAGATACGGATCCTATTATGGATACGGGTGCGGGGATGCGGCTAAAACTAATTCAAAAAAATAAAAATATAAAAACATCTCTAAATTATGAAATTTTTTGTGACATACTTACGTATAGCTTGTAAAATGTGGATTTCTTTTTTATCTTAAGTTGTAGATAAGTAAAAGATTGACTTCCTAGATAAGGTATGCTATTTTTTTCAAATTTACCCTAGTTTTGGTTCTGATTTGGGGAGTCAAATTGTATCTCGTCTCGAATTTTTCCGTACGTTGTGGTCAAAGTACCCAAAATTGTTTGACCAAATCCGGTACGGATCCCATACCCACACCCATACTAGTGTCGTGTCGATACGGGTGCGGCACCTAAACTGCCGTGTCAGAGCAACTTAGGCTGATCCCAACTTGTTTGGGACTGAGGCTTAATTGTTATTGTATATGGGTACATTAGTTTTTTTTTTCCCACACTATTTTTAATGCTTTTCGAAAAATCTTCACGAGGTACTTGTTCGATATGGATATATCTAGGCAAATGAAGGATCCTTGTAACATAGGGTATAATTGCTATTGACAGAGTATTTGATGAATTGAATTCTGCTGTCAGCTTGTAATATTGTTTTTATTGGTGAAAAGTGCTAATAGAAATCCTCTTACCGACTGCACTATGCGTTCGAGTATCATCCGTTATTTTTACCACTTTAATGAAAATCTAAGTGGTTCAGAACCTTCATGACACTTTTAGATTCTTTTAATTTTGTTTTTAGTTTTGTGTTTTTGTGCCTTCGTATCCTTATGCTTTCCTTTTTTCTCTGCAACATTGGATGTTTTATAGAGCTTGCAGTGATTGTGCATTATTGGCTGCATATAGCATGTGAAGATGGTGTTATCATCCGTAATCCGATATTTCTAGAATTGGAAAATGCCTGAGATAACAAGCATAGCGAAAGAAATATCTGAAAATGGGACAGATTCATCTCAGGATGATATTGGCACTGTTGAGGAAATGCCTGAGGACACCATCTTATCACGACAAACATCGGTGAACCTCGTCCCTTTCATTGGCCAGAGATTTGTATCACAGGATGCTGCATATGAATTTTACTGTAGCTTTGCAAAGCAAAGTGGCTTCTCAATCAGACGTCATCGTACTCGGGGGAAGGATGGCATTGGTAGGGGGATTACAAGAAGAGATTTTACGTGCCATCGCGGTGGCTATCCACAACTAAAGCCTTCAGAAGATGGCAAGCTGCAAAGGAATCGAAAATCATCGCGTTGTGGATGTCAGGCGTTCATGAGAATTGTTAAAAGAGCAGATTTTAATGTCCCTGAATGGCGGATCACAGGTTTCAGCAATGTTCATAACCATGAACTCTTAAAGTCAACTGAGGTGCAGCTTCTTCCTGCCTACTGCACCATGTCTCCGGATGACAAGAGTCGCATTTGCATGTTTGCGAAAGCTGGGATGTCAGTTCGGCAAATGCTAAGGTTTATGGAGCTAGAGAAGGGAGTTAAGTTGGGTTGCTTACCCTTCACAGAGGTTGATGTCAGAAACTTGCTGCAATCTTTTAGAAATGTGGAGCAAGACAATGACCCTATTGACCTCCTCAAAATGTGCAAGGAGATGAAAGACAGAGACCCTAACTTAAAATATGACTATAAAATAGATTGTAATAACAGGTTGGAGCATATTGCCTGGTCTTATGCTTCATCAATGAGGTTGTATGAGGCTTTTGGTGATTCTATAGTATTTGACACTACTCACCGCTTGGATGCCTATGATATGCTTCTTGGGATATGGATCGGAGTGGATAACCATGGAATGCATTGTTTCTTTGGCTGTGTACTCATTCGGGATGAAAATTTGCAGTCTTTCTCCTGGGCATTGAAGGTACGAAGACATGCAATCATGTCACTATACTATACCATTATACCAATCCCATCTATAAAGTATTATAAATTTTTGTTAAACCCACTTAATTTGCCAGTACCCAAAAAGCTTCAAGTGTTTGAAATGCCTATTCATGTGCCTAACAAAGGAGTCTGCGGAGTGACCAGAAAATACTGATGAAACTAGTGCAAAAAAGTGGAGTTCACTCCTTGCTGTTATTTACTACTTCATATGTTAAAAAAGGAAAAATGAATTATCCTTCAGTTCAGATGTTAAGGAGCTACTTCACATAACTGGGCAAACCGGTGGCAAAGGAAATGATTAAACTAAGTGTTGCAATTAGTGTGAAAGCATATTATCTAAGAAGTTCATCAGTTAGAGTATAAACTTGAGTTATATTAAGAGAGTGGTTTCGACTGTAGCAAAAACTAAAAATCATAAAAAGACGAGAGAGTATGTTGCAAGCTAGTTGGAAGATCTCTTGCTTAACAACATTAACGACTATCTGTCAGCTTGCACTTTAATATTTGTGTCGCTTTGCCTTACTGTAATGATGATTCTTCACCTTCTTTTTGTGATCTTTCTTTGGATTTCCTCTTTTCTGTTTAATGTTTGATAACTCAATTCTTAATATCTTTTTACCAATCTTCCCCCTTCTTATCTTTACCTGTATATATATTTGTTACGGGCATCAGGTCAAACCATCTCAGGTCCTTTCTGGTATCATAAGCAACTAGCTTAGCAACAACAACTGCAGATATCTTAAATGCATCTTTCAATCCATAGCTTGCAACTCCCTTGGTTCCATATGCTAATGTGAAATCTTTTTTGTTTTACTTCGTTTCTCCAAAATTGGTGATAGACATTCTTGGGCTTCATGAATGGCAAGGCTCCAGGAACCATTTTGACTGATCAGAATTTGTGGCTCAAAGAAGCAATTGCCACAGAAATACCAAGGGCAAAACATGCATTTTGCATTTGGCATATAATTTCGAGGTTTTCAGATTGGTTTTCGACACTTCTCGGATCGCAATATGATAATTGGAAGGTTGAGTTCCATCGCCTCTACAAGTTACATTCTATAGAGGAATATGAAGTGGGATGGAATGAGATGGTCGAAACCTACAAGCTGGATGAAAATAAACACATTGTCAGTCTATATGCTTTACGTTCATACTGGGCGCTGCCTTTTTTGAGATCTTACTTCTTTGCTGGAATGACAAGTACATTTCAGTCAGAAACAATAAATACTTATATCCAGAGGATTTTGAGCGTGCAATCTGTACTTGATAATTTTGTGGAGCAGGTGTGAGATTCTTTCTTACCTATTGTTTTAATTATTTGCTAATTTGATTCTTCTCCAATTTTTTTACTGACAACTGTACATATGCAGGTTGCTCGGGTTGTAGGTGCTAAAGATCAAGCTGGAGGAACACATAAGGCACAGAGAAATGTTCAAAAGGTTCCCCTGAAAACAGGTTCACCGATAGAGTCGCATGCTGCAACTGTTCTTACACCGTATGCCTTCTCAAAACTACAAGAGGAGCTTGTTTTGGCACCACAATATGCGTCACTGATGGTAGATGAAAGTTACTTCATCGTGAGACACCATACAGAAATGGATGGTGATTATAAAGTACTCTGGGTTCCGCATGAAGAGTTCATTAGCTGTAGCTGCCATAATTTTGAGTTTACTGGTATTCTCTGTAGGCATGTGCTACGTGTGCTCTCAACAAACAACTGTTTTCACATTCCGGACCAATATCTGCCCATGCGCTGGCGTGAATGTTCCTCCTCTTTGGCTAAGCCCGCCCTCTTTAGTTTACCAAGTGATAATACAGGAAAAATTCAGTTATTGCAGTCTATGATTTCTACACTGATTACTGAATCAGAAGAACGCCTCAATGTTGTTTGTGAAGAAGTTTCTACGGTTTTATCTCGCATTAAGGGGTTGCCGACAACATCCAATGGGGGTAATGCTATTGCATATGAGAGCCCATCAGACTCACTGATTCTCACAGGGGTTGAGGATTCTGACGGTATTGGTGAAAGCTTCGCTTGTAATCCTCACGGGTATATAAATTTGGAAAAGTTGAAAGAGAGAGGATCAAGAGATGGACTGGATCTTTACAGGAAGAGGAGGCATCTTTCCGTCTTATGTTGTGGGCAGTATGGCCATGATGCAAGTGATTGTCCAATGATGGAAGGTGAAGATTTGAATGGAGATAGACTTGGCTTTTTATAGTAAAGACTGCGAAATGGGCTAGCACTTTGAGGAAATAGGAAATGTGAACCAACCTCTCTGTTCATAAGCTGACAATTCCCCCCTGTCAATGCAAACCTTTTACACCCTTAAACTTTTGTTATCCAGGAAATCGACTCTAACATGGTTGGAATACACTTTCTAACCAATCAGTCTTCTCTGTAACAAATGGAGGACCTTCTTGCAGTGACCAATGAAGGACGCGTTCTTATTTTTGTCCTACCAACCCCAACTCCTAAAAGAAGAAGAAAAAGGAGCATTTAAGATGTACCACTATGATTCTCACGCATCACGCCTCAAAGGGGAAAACAGAGAAACGAGGTTAGATGATATAATATTGGGTTTTATTTGAAATACGACTGCTGCATGATACACATGACTCTTTTCTCTCTTTTGGTTTTTTCCCCTTCGTACTCTGACCATGACATTCTGCGTCTGTTTCTAGAAGTGTTCTATGGTACAAGTTGACTAATGTGTGAAAACATAGATCTACATTCCACTAGTTTGAGTTCTATTCTAAGCATATCAAGTGTAGGTTTTGATTAAATACTTGTATTTGTTTCAAACAACAGTTACAAGACTACCTATAGGATGTGATACAAATGGTTAGGCTGGTACTTGAGATGCCATAATCTGATGAGGAAACATCTCTAGTCATTTTGACCTTCATCAGCCAAGGAAACTTTGCTTAGTCTGCTGGGCAATGTCTTAAGATCGTTCATGTTCCTAACCTTTCTGGCTCTTCCTCGCCGGCTGCTTGAACCAAATATTGCTCTATGTGCCAATGCTTTGCCCAACAGCCTGTACTCAGCCCTGGAAACCTTGCTGTAATCCTGCTGCCTTGTCTCGCCATCATCACACTGCTCTTGGCAGCTGCTGCTGTTATAGGTTTCAGAAACTTCACAGATTGCTTTGTCAGTGGCCATTATATTACAACACAAAAGGAGGACTAGGGTGGTGGTGTGAAGGAATCAAGAAGTGGGTGAACTTTTATATGTGACCCTTCTGGCTTAGTGGGAATAAATGTTAGTAGAAGACTTGGGGACAAAAGACATATGAATGGGGATGGTTAAGTTGGGTCGTTGGTCGTGGCATGAAAAGGTAAAGTTGGAGGAGTTTTGAAGCAAAGTTTCATATAGCCGAAAGGTTACTCCTTACGCAAATCCTTTTTCACCTATCCATGCATTCATCAATGTCTCTTGCTTAAGAAGGAATAATACATGACACTTGGTAATCCTTTAATTCTGGCAGTCTTCATTAGTTGTACTGTATCTTCATTAATGAGTAGCTGTAATTCTATCAAGCGAGCTACTACTTGTATAGACCGGAACCTAAAGAAATGCATTGGCATTTCTAGTAGTTGAAAGAAAACTTATACCAACGAATGGCGTGCTTCTAGAGCTTTTTGCGAGTGATCAAAAATCTATATGAAGCAAGATAAAACTCGTGTTATACTTATAATAATTGCTTCTTCTGATATAATTATTGGTCCGCAGTACTTTCACCGACTTGTTATAAAAAACCAAGTGAGAGAGGCGCTCCTTGTTTTACTTTTGTTTCCTCTAATAAAAAAAAAATTTGGACGGTCTATGAGAATTATGTCGTCTAATTTGAACTTTATGGTTCAAATTCGTGATTCATCTACAACTCATTTCATTTACCAGGTTCAAAATCAACTATTCGTGCTTATTTTGTGAAATTTTTAACACACCATATCCGAGCCAAACATATTGCCTATTGGATCCAGATGAATTCATATACATATAATTCAAAGATATTGGATTCAGATGAATTTATATCTATTACTCTCTATATGTCCCTGATTGAGGCGTAATTGTTGTTGCTGGATGAGAATTATATCACAGCCCATAGGCGGCAAGGCCCAAAGATAAGACAACGCTGATTAATAAAGAGAAATTTTCATAAAGAACTATCTTATAGTGGTAATTAGCTATCTATAGATACCATTTGCTATATTACGGATTATAGATACATTTTCTGTTGTTATAAGATGTATTAGATGTATTTAAGCTACTGTATTCATGAATACAATAGCAAAAATAAGCGTGAATTAGGGAAGTAGAGCTAATCAGTTGTTGTATTCGAGTGTATTCGAGTGTATTCGACTGTATTCATGGCGTGAAACATGGAATTACAGCTGGACAGATTATTGTGTTTGAATGTATTCGACTGTATTCTCGGTGTGAAACAGGGGATTACACTGTTTTTAAATGGAAAGTGAATCAATTAACATAATAGACTCTTAATATAACTCAACAAACTCAATTATAACACACAAAATTTGTATTTCCAGTTATAAAAAAGATTCTCAACCGAAAAATACCCCAAAAACATAACAATCTTCAGAGAAATTATATAATACATTTGAATACATAAATTATATAAATTAAAAAAAACATACGAATACATTCATGGCATATAGCGAGACAGTGAATACAATAAAATACATAGAATACAGCAGGATACATTGAAATACAATGAAAGAAAGACAGTGAATACAATGAAATACATAGAATACAACGACATACATTGAATTACAATGAAAAAAAAGACAATAAATACAACGAAATACATGAAAATACAGCGTGATACGTTGAAAATACATTGAAATATATTAACAGAAAATCAAGTTGCTCAGCCCCAAACTCCGTTGTCTTTGTTCAAGAACAAACCCTAATTTCTGGCGAATTCGCCGTCGAGCAAAAACCCCTGTGTTGTGCGCGTCGATCGGAAAAAACAGTATATTCCTCATAACAAATCCCACAATTCACATTATCAGAATCCAAACACTTAGTTTCTTCTTTCTCCAATATTAATATACCTATAGCTTTCAAACAACAACAAAGAAGAAGGGAGAAGAAAGAAAATAAGAAAAAGAGAAGAAGAAGGAAGTGGAAGTAGTGTCTGAAATTTGCTCAAATCGGGTATACATTAAAAAATTTAAGAGAAAGCAACGTCCGATGGAATTGGAGAAATTGGGATCGGAGAGAACGTAGGTGATGTAGGTGAGAAGAATTTTGAGATTGAGTATCGTGTTTTCAGGGAATGGGGAAGAGAATGGCATGTATCAAAGTAGAGAGAGAAAGAAAATAGTGTAACTGAATAGCGTATTTAGAGGCTTAGGGATAGGAGTTAACCAAAATTAGATATTTTACTATAAACATTAAAAGGTATCTATAGAATATAATTCTTTTAAATGGTATTTATTTAAAATAAATAAGGTGTTAACCTTTGCTATAGGCAGCTCCTATTTGTTGAGTCCGGAACCTTTTTATTGTCTTTTTGGACAAATGTGACGTTAATGAGTGTAAATTAAAAAGTTATTTTTCTATATATAACGCCGAAATTCGCCGCGCTATACCTTAACGGTAACTTTTGCCGTTAAGGTATAGCGCAAGGAATAAGTGTGATATACCCCATGACGATATGACTGCCAGGTTTAGCGCATAGAAATCATACGCTATACCTATAGCGCAAAGAATTAGCACGCTATACCCCTGATTAAATAATCCCCTTCGTCTTCCCCCGAAGACCAGAACTCCTCCCCCATTTTTTCACTTCTTTCGATTTATTTGGTCCCCCCCCCCACCACCACCACCACCACCACCACCACCACCTTGTTGTTCCTAAAAAAAAAATTGTAGGCCCGTCCCGTCACACAAAACGCTAAGAACGTAGGTCCCACATCGTAGTAGAGCATCGTATTATTGTAGTTTCACTCTTTCGGAGCCAAATTTTCAGCCAATTAACTTTTCGACAACACTAAATCGAGGTATTTCGATTTATTTTATGTCGAAACTTGTATAATAATGCATATTAGTTGATCTGAATGTGTTTCCATGTCGTTTTGTGTTTTATTTGCGAAACTAGTATGTTATATTTATCCGAACTTTGATATTAGTGTTCTAAAAAAAATATAAAATTGAGAAATAATTTTTTCTGTTAATATCCGAATTTAGATATTAGTGTTTCCATGTCGTTTTGTATTTTATTTGCGAAACTAGTATGTTATATGTATTTATGTGAAAGTTATGTGATTAACATGCAATTGTTGCTTTACATTTAGTTTATTTATTAGCGTAATAAAATGTAGAAAATTTTAGCGTAGTAAATTGTATAGTATTTTAGCGTAAAATCCCTGTAGTTTAAGTATTTCTTATACTGGTAAATGAAGATATATACATTGTACAATTAAATAATAAAAATATTGAATTTGACACACATAAAAATTCATGATAGTTTGGTGCTACTGGCCTCAAATATCGAGCCTGGAACCCAATAGGTATATATATGTAAGAATTTAAATTATAAAACAAACACACACAAAATAATCAAAATATTGAATTTGACACACATAAATATTCATGATAGTTTGGTGCTACTGGGCCTCAAATATCGAGCCTGGAACCCAATAGGTATATATATTAAGAATTTAAAATATAAAACAAACACATACAAAATAATCAAAATATTGAATTTGACACACATAAATATTCATGATAGTTTGGTGCTTCTGGGCTTCAAATATCGAGCTTGATACCCAATAGGTATATATATTTAAGAATTTAAATTATAAAACAAACACACCCAAAATAATCAAAATATTGAATTTGACACACATAAATATTCATGATAGTTTGGTGCTACTGGGCCTCAAATATCGAGCCTGGAACCCAATAGGTATATATATTTAAGAATTTACATTATAAAACGAACACACACAAAATAATCAAAATATTGAATTTGACACACATAAATATTCATGATAGTTTGGTGCTACTGGGCCTCAAATAAAGAGCCTGGAACCCAATAGGTATATATATTTAAGAATTTAAATTATAAAACAAACACACACAAAATAATCAAAATATTGAATTTGACACACATAAATATTCATGATAGTTTGGTGCTACTGGGCCACAAATATCGAGCCTGGAACCCAATAGGTATATATATTTAAGAATTTATATTATAAAACAAACACACACAAAATAATCAAAATGTTGAATTTGACACACATAACTATTCATGATAGTTTGGTGCTACTGGGCCTCAAATATCGAGCCTGGAACCCAATATGTATATATATTTTGTACAATTAAATAATAAACATACAATTAATGTTGTTTAATTTACAGTTGACGACATGGACACGCCACCTATACATCACGGCCCTTACCCTCGTGAGCTATTAGTGCTTCAGGGCGATCATAGGTCCGCCCATATATGGGAGGGAGAGTTACTGTCCCAGACTCTCCGCGCTAGGAGAGTGGACGACCTGTGGGATTTTCTGAGGCCCAGAGATCTCCACGAGCGTGTAGTCCACCGCCTCCAGGATACGGGATTCTATAGGATTATTGAGATCGGGCGGATACAGGTTGACTGGGCTTTGATCAGGGCGTTGATTGAGCGGTGGCGACCGGAGACGCACACTTTTCACCTGCCCATTGGCGAGGCTACCATCACGCTGCAGGACGTGGAGGTTTTATATGGCCTGCCCATTGATGGCATGGCTGTTTCACTACCTATTGCTATGAGATCTATGGTGCGTGATTCTTATTTGGACATGCTGCAGCAGCTCACGGGTTTTAGGCCACAGGACGAGACTGTATCGTCGGGTGCAAGTCAATTGACTTTGACACCTATTAGACAGTACCTGGAGGTACTCTACCCCGATATCACCGACGATACAGAGGAGGTACATATCACCCGGTATACGAGGTTGTTGCTGCTTCTTCTATTTGGAGGTGTCTCGTTCCAGAACACTTCGGGGAACCTAGTCAGCCTGAGATTTCTTCATCATCTTCAGCTGCTAGATAAGTTAGCCTATTACAGCTGGGGTGCTGCTGTTCTCGGCTACATGTATAGGCAGATGTGCCGGGCGAGTATGGGCACTCAGATGTTTGTGGTTTTATGCTGCTTCTACAGGTGACAACATATTCAAATAATCTGTTCATCAGTCCCAACTCTACCTAGTTAGAATTTATCTTAAACCTTATGTCAACTTTGCATGTTAGGTTTGGGCCTGGGAGCGGTTCTTGCAGTATCAGCCACCTCGACCACAATTACCTCCTAATGTACCACCTCCGTTTCTCCCTCTAGCCAGGAGGTGGGTTCCTCGCTGTACACTTTCACGAGAGTATGATGCTCATCATAATCTCCCCCTCTGTAGGGATGTGTTGGATCTGCTAGAGGGCGCACAGGTAAATATGTACCTAAACTTACCTCGTATAGATTAACTTAGTGTTGCGCATACTCACATTTCATGTTCTAATTTGATAG